CCCCCCCCCGTGGGACCCAAAATGGCGGTGAGTTCCCCTGCCCGACAGATGCCACTCATGCCCCGCAGAATTGTCTTTCTCCGCCCCTTGACACCCGAGGGAGAGGGACGGGAAGGGGCTAGAAATGGCTTAGGGATGGTGTATACTGTGGGGTTGAGATACGGGCTGGTGAGCACGCATTTTAAGATCTCTGGCGCTGACAGGGGTAAGGAAAATGTAAGCACGCCATGCAGGTCCATGTTTAAGCAACCAATTGAAAGGAAGAGGGCAAGCTTTACAGGCATACCAAATGAGAGTGTCGCCTTGTACAGAGGTAAGAAAAGGAGTCCTGAAAATCACATGCTTCACTAATATCTTTCAGTAAATATATGTGCGGCCTTCACGTATATGACTGGGTAACTTGCAGGGACACATTATCTCTACTCGCTGGTATCGACCAAAAACATTAAAGAAAATATAAACCCTATACCCATGCTCCTCGGAGATGCCGCAGGGGACCTGCTCTTCCCTGGCGTAATATCCCTGCCATCCGCCAAAATATTTCAAGCCTATTCACAATTTCATTAAAAACGTACCGATATTTTCAAAGGAAATGGTGCAGGAATTATGGAGAGGAGGGGATTTGACATCATTCTGTCGAAACAGGGAAGCGCAGGTCTGCTGTTGATGTTCTTCGCGTCTCATGAAGACGTCTTCCGCTTCTTCCAACTGTACCCAACAATGAAATCAGGAGACAGTGCACAGCGCCTTCCACGCTGTGTATGGTACAAAACATGAGTCTGCATGCGGAAACACTGTCCATGGGCGCCTGCCAGGGTAGGCCGGTCACGGCATGTCGGGACGACGAATGCCCGGGGTGAAGGAGAGAGACCGAAATTTTCACCCCAAGACGAGGCAGAGCTCTTAGAAGCCCCTTCAATCAGAAAGGCCACAAAGGTTTACCGAGGCTCCAAGCAGTGCACCCCAACCCTTGTCATGTCGATGATCGTATCGTTCGTCATCTCGGCTGCACGCTATCCTATTTTCATGTGCCTTTTGGTTTTGGTATCTTACGCAGATGCATGTGCCCATGGGAAGTTCTTGCCGCTTCGCTTTTTCTCCCTGCCCAGCGGAGCGCAGCCACGTACTACAAACCCCAAAAAAACAAAAAATGCGCGTGCGTGAATCAATTTTTTTTGTTTTCTTCGTTAAATTTAAAGGATCTCACATTGCAATTGCCTGGACGTAGTTTCTTCTTTTTTCATGAATGTTGTCCTGCAATTCCAAACGAGGGCTGCGTCGGCGTGAACACTCAGGGGATCGATGGCAACACGAAAGCCATAAGAACGACTGAAGCAGCGAGAGGATCTTCTCGAGCCACCGACAAATCGTAGAACACGAGAACAAAAAATATGCGAAGGTTCATCTCCAAAAGTGACGCAACATCATCCCTCCATGAGATCGCGGCATTGGTCGAACCCCGACGACTGATGGTCAACACTCTGTCCGGAAGGTCTTATCTAATCATTGATGTCATCACAACACACATACGACGCGCGACGTTAGTCTTTGTCGTTCATCAGAACCATGAATTTTAGTGTGGTGAGCCGCAAGAAGCTCGTTCAGCTCATCCAGACACGGTAAGTTTGTGGTGTGCGTGGTATTATTACTTTCCTACCCATCAAGTCTTTTTTTCCTGTACCTTTCTAATTTTCCACTGTCATTATTACAAAAGGAGCATGTCCTCCGCGGGCCGGAAGTTTTTTGTGGGGGGTAACTGGAAATGTAATGGCTCGGTGGCCCAGGTCGAGGTAAGTGCCGCCTTATCTTTGCGTGGGAATCCGATCCCACGGGTCAAAGGGAGTTTACGTGGACCTGAAGAGGAAAGGGACCGTATAAGTCGAAAACATGCATCCAAGACAAGCCATAAGGCGCCAACGTGCAAAAAGGACGGTTTGGCAGACACAGCTAGACCTCTCATTCCTGCCTCATCGCGCGACCCTCCCGCCCCCTCTTCCATCTACACGCTAAATTTCTCTCTTTTCCACCCCAAACCCCATTCATCTTAATCCTCCAGTCCTTGGTGAACATGCTCAACGAGTCCAAGCTGGCCAATACCACCGAAGTCGTCATTGCCCCTGCCGCGGTGCACCTGCATAAGGCTTTGGCCAAGGTGCGGCCCGACGTGGCGGTGGCGGCTCAGGACGTGTGGATCCAGGGAGGGGGGGCTTTCACCGGAGAGACGTCCGCCGAGATGTTGAAGGACTTGGGGGCCAAGTGGACGTTGACGGGTAAGGGGGGGAAGGGAGGGAGGGAGGGA